AAGGAGGCGTTCCACCTGGCGGTGCGAGACGCCCAGATCACGAAGAACAGGGGCCTGAGATCCGCGAGCGCGGTGGTCAACCAAGATCGCAACGAGTCGGTGCTCTAAGACGGCTACTCGCCGGTGAACTCGGCGCTCGGGGCTCGCGGCCTACCTATGCCAGGATGCGCCCAGACAGATGGCGAGTCGGAGATGCTGAACGCCCGCGAGGCCGCGCTCGACCCAGAACCCGCGATGGCACCCGCCCTGTCGCGAAGCGAATCTGCCAAGGTCGCCTTCGCGAAGATGGACAACGACGACCGCGCGAGGAGAGCGAAGCTGGCGAGATCGACGCCCGCGAGGGGGCCATGCCCGGCGGGGTCGCGCGCGCACTTCAGACGCGCCCACGTCCGACCAGGAGAGCCACCTGCACTACTCCATCGGTGGTTCGGCATCGCTCGCGCGATCGGTCGCGATTTCGGGGGCCCCGACAAGATGGCGGACGGGGTCGAGGCGACCCTGCGGCCAGCGGCCGTCCAGGGTAGCCCTCGCGCGATCTGGCTGCGGCGTGGGGGCGGCGCGGTTCTGCCGAGGCCTGAGCAGCTGAGGTTCGCGACGGAAGACAAGCCATTCCCCTGGGACCGCATGCCGGCCGATCAACGGTGAGCAGCTCTTACGGGGGGCCGAGAGGATTTCTCGATGCTCTTCGCGAAGGCCTGGAAGAGGGAGCCCCGGAGTTTCCTGCAGATCCTGCAACCGCTGCGGCCCCGCGGCCAGCGCCGCGTGCGCAGCCTGCGACCGGCGAGACGCGGGGCCAGAGCGTCTGCCCCGCTCAGTCGGAGGAGGCTCAACCGCCACCTCTTGACTCGAGCGAGGGACCGTCGGATGCGCACCCCGGCGAGGACCTCGCACCCGAGGATCCAGGCCGCGGAAGGGAAGTTCAGGAACTTGAGCCAGCCCATGAAAGGCTGCCTGATCAAGAGAATGGCGACTGGACGCGGCACTGATGATGGTGATACCTTGGTCGCTGCAATTAACGGGATCGCGGATCATTCCGCTGCTCCTCGCGACGCGCTCGAGCCTGCAGGTCGAGGCGATTTGCCTGCCCGTGGCTCTCGGGGCCGCCCCGGGGCGTTCTGGGCCGGGCCCCGTCGCGGGCGGCATCTTCCTTGCCGAGGGCGCTGCGGACGACGTGTGCCGCGCGTGGATCAACGACGCATGGCCGACGAGGAGGTCTCGGAGCAAGGAGCTGATTCTCGCGAGGCTCAGCGGTGCGGTCAGGGCCCTATTCGACGCGAGCATGGACAAGGAGTGGGGAAACTGGTAACGCTTCAGGGCAGGCAACTTTGGTTTCTGGCGACGACGCGAAGGAGTTTCAAGAAGGTCAAGCCCATTCCATCGAGGTGAGCACATTCCAACAAGAACGAGTTTGACCCACAACTCGGGACGAATGCGAAGTCGACGCTGGTGGCGGTCTGTTGCTACGAATCGGTGCGCGCGCGGACGGACTCGCCGACCTCTTCGCCCCTGGTCTTCCACCTGATCTGCAGTGCGGCAGCGCGGATGCATTGGCCACTGTTCAAGCTCGATGCGACGAGCGCCTACCTCCAAGCGGCAACGTCGACCGGATGCCCGCGCTACGTCCATTTTCCCCTTTCTGCCGCCTGGCGCATTTGAAGGGTCGCTTTTCATCTGCCACGGCGCGATCTGCGGCACCGAGGGCGCTGGAAGGAAGTGGTGGAGCAAGCTACGCAGAACTCCGCGCAGCAATTCGTGGACGCGGAGCCGCTTGGAGCGCGCCCTCTGTCTACTCTTTGAGAACGGCAAGCTAGTTGGCCTTGTCGGCGCTGACGTGCGCGACCTCTTCGCGACTGGAGATCCGAGGAGCAAGCTGTTCAAGGACGCGACCGACGAGCCGGAGAAGTCTCCCTGCAGGTGCTGCGGGGGGGGGGGGGGGGCGAGGACCGGGCTTCGGACTTCTCTATCAAGATCGGCATGGCCAAATTCGTGGACGACAATGGAGGGCGTCGCGCTACTGCCAGCCCGCGCGAAGCGAGACAAGGCTTTGGCTACGGACGAGGAGAAGAGCTACGCCGAGCCGGTGATTAGTTCGCTTTGTTGGCTGTCTCGGCAGCAGCGGATGGGCGCCTCCTTCGGCTACAATTGGCTGGCGCAGTACAAGAACCAGTTCACGGGGCAACACCTGGTGGAGATGAACAAGCCAGTGAAGTACTGCAACGAGAGCGACGCCTACATAGTCTTTCGGAGCGACGCGCTACATGACGATGGACATGTTCGTGGAGTTGTGTTCGCGGACAGCAGCCTTAACGACGTGGACGACATTACCTTCGGCGAGCTCGGCAAGAAGGTGAAATCGCAGCTCGGGTTCGCGTGTTTGCTGGCGGACGAGGGCCCGTACGACAACAAGAAGGGGCCAGTGCACATCCTCGGCTGGGGCAGTTCACGCATCAAACGGGTGTGCAGGGCGCCAGTGGGAGCCGAAGCCCACGGACTTACAGGAGGAACTGCGGCGCAGGAGTGGATCAGTGCGCTGTACTACGAGATGAGCGTTCCAAACCAGCCGCTGGCCGACCTCGTGGAAGACGTGGCGAGCTTGATACCGGCGAAGTGGCACGACGACGCCAACAACTTGGTTTCTCATATACTCGCAGATGCTGGACAAGTTGCCGATGGCCGAGTTCGTGTGGTCATCGCGGCACTTCGCGAGCTACTGGCCCAAGATGGAGCTGACTTGGAGTGGTGCGACACTTCGGTGCAGCTGGCCGATGCGCTGACGAAGCTGGACGCCGACGGGCGAAATTCAGAGCGGGTTCGCGAACGTGGAGTTCAGCGCAGAGGCCGCGTCGACCAGGAAGGCGATCAGAGATGCGAGGCACAGGCGCGCCGACGAGAAGCGCAAAAAGGAAGTGAAGAGCAACCTGGAGTACAACGAATCGACGATCAAGACAAATTCCAGGAACGACAACGATAACGGAGCCTTCGCGACCTCCGAGAGCAGGAAATACCAGGCGGGTCGCCGAGGGAGCCGCCGGATGGGCGGAACGGTGAGTGTGATGACAGGCAGCAACAATCCCTGTTTTACTGGCCGCGCGGCCAGTTAATGTAGCCAGACGATCGAGGACGGGTGCTGAAATGCACTACGATCGTCTCCCCTATTTCCATATTTGGCCCTAGCGGGCCCGTAATGCAAATTGGACATGGAAGGCCGTGTGATGTGTGTCGGGCCTGAAGAAGCTCAGAGAAAAACGCTGCAGCTACTGATGCGTCCCGTTCCATAACCAATCTGGCTCCGAAGAGCTCTTGAGCGCACGGGCTCACGCCTGAAAAATTTGCGACGGCGGCGGCCCTCACCTGAGGGGTGGAGGAGGAGGAGGAGGAGGAGGAGGAGGAGGGACAATGAGAGGGAGGAGGGAGACTGAGGAGAGGGAGGAGGGGGAGAAGGAGGAGAAGGAGGATGAGGAAGAAGAAAAAGAAAAAGAGGATGAGGTGGAGGGGGAGGAGGAAGAGCCGGAAGCATGCCAAAAGATCGTCTCGGGATTCCAACGCCACGGATCAACCTGACTGTTGCATATGGACGATCCAGAATCGCGCCAGAGCGCAATTCCTAGGACCTGCACGCCGCGAATCAGCATAACTTGTACACACTCGTGAGCCTGAATCCATCCAACACATTATTTCTGGCACGTTGATCATGCGAATCCGCGAGACTCTTGCAATTCTTGTAAAACGAATGTGCGCGGCGCTACGGCGAGAACCACATGTTCAAAAGGAACCGCCCTCAATGGGTGATATGCTTGCAAGTGTTTAAGACGAGTGTGCGCGGCGCTAAGGCGAGAGCCCACTTATAAATAAACACTAGCCCCCAATCGACGAAATTCTTCCAATGTGTAAGACGAATGTGCGCGGCGCTACGGCGAGAACCACATTTTGAAAGCAACCGCCCTCAATCCGTGAAACCTTTCAAGTTTCTGAAAACAAATGCGCGCGGCGCTGAGGCGAGAACCACATTTTGAAAACGACTCGCCCTCAATCCGTGAAACTGTTGCACTGCTTCAAAGACGAATGTGTGCGGCGCTACGGCAAGAATCACATGTTGAAAACAGTTCGCCCTCAACCCGTGAAATGCTTGCAATGGTTGTAAGACGAATGTGCGCGGCTCTGAGGCGATAGCCACATTTTGAAAACCACCCGCCCTCCATCTGCGAAGCTGTTACCTATCTTTGAGATTCAGAATCAGGAGTGGTGAGGAAGCCTCAGGCGAAAAGCCTCGCCTGCCCTAAAAACTGGCCTCGGTGTGTGACAGGGAGAAGTTAGTCATATGGAGAAGGAGGAGGATGAGGAGGTGGAGGAAGAGGAAAAGGAAGAGGGACAGAGAGAGAGAGAGAGCGAAAGGACCAGGGAGAAAGGTGGACGGGAGACAGCTGGGGGGCAACAGAACACGACTCTAGAACTCACAATCCTGGCCCCGCCAACTGGGGGGCGGGGCGGAATGCTCAAGAGGTTCGCTGCACGCGCAGTGAACATAATCAATCACAGAACTCGGCGGCGAGCCTCGGGAGGGGGGGAAGTGAAAGAGGAAGGGCCTTCTCGAAATGCGGCGGGAATTCTCAAAAGCCCGCGCGCCTCCTGAGAAGCCGCATGTGGCTTCAATAAAGGCTCAGAGGACATCCCAAAGGCGCGCGAACTTCTGAGAAGCCCGCCGCCTTCTCAGAAGCCCCCCCTCCCCCTCACTTCCCCGCGAAGCTCGCCGCCGAATGTACTGCGTCAGTGTCGAGCCAACTCCACCTGGGCACTACCATATGCGGCCAAGCACGGTAATCACTCCCACCCCGACCGATGGCAGGGGGGGGGAAAGGGAACGGCATGTCGCATGTGGGTGCCCACTCCGCAAGGCACGAGTCAAAGCAGCGAGGCCCACGAAGGGGCCTCGACTGACCAACAAAGGGTGGCACAAAGCGCAGCTGAAGGAACCTTCGACTGTGTGGGGCCCAATGCGGCGCCTTGAGAGTCTCGTTCTCTACCTCCAGCAGCGCCACCCGCGCCTCCAAAGGCAGCGCCTTGCACTCTCACGGACGCGGCAAAGGGATACGATGATGGCACAGTTGCACATTCCCCAAAAACAATGCTCGCACTTAGGAAATTAAGCTCCTAAGAACATGTGCCTGCTTGTCTGTCCGGCGGCTATATTGTCATCGTCGCCGACCCGTCGCCGCCTTGTCGCCGCCCGTCGTCTCGGCCAAATTGCCGGTCTGGCGGCTACGTTGTCGCAATCGCCGCCCAGTCGTTTTCTCGTCGCCGCCCATGGTTTGGGGCTGGTGTTCGGTCTGGCGGATCTGCTGTCGCCCTCGCCGCCCCGTCGCCGCCCCCATTGCATAAATGGAATTCACCGCGTCGTTTTTTTCCTCAAATTGAACGGCGTTCAACCCCCCACCCCGGTGTTGTCGCCTCCCTCGGGGATACTACACATCACATGCGATTCGGACCCATTGGTCCTCCGAGGAAAACATACGATCCCAACAAACAACATCACCATTTCCCCAACAAATGAGACTATCCGCGCGCAGCCGTTTATGAAAAACCCGCAAATGTCAAACAATTCTGTGCAACAAATGAAAAAAAATCCACACATGCGTCGTCGCGCGCATACCCCAATTACTCTGAAACCGGACGTGACTCGAAGGGATGTAAAAACGAGGTTCATGAAGTCATGGTCTTCTCACATGAGAAGAGGACATGGGTGTAACATGTTGTGATCACGTTGTTATGTATCCATGCGTGTTCCCACGTGTTCATCTCATGCGACTGCGCGGGTTTCTCTCGCGCGCGCATGTCGACATCATTCGAAAGGCGCTGCGTGTTTGCTAAAATGAGACAATATCAATCATCAAATATGCCTGCGTTCGGGTTCCGCCGAATTCTACAACAACCACCGGTCCTCAACCGCTTCATTCCATTCGGCCAAACAGGCCGCTCGCACCCCACGTCGAAATCAATCGAACGCCCTTGCGCGCGTGCTGGGTGGGGGGCGCGATCCGTGTCAAACGTACCATGCGGGCCATTCTCTCGCGTCGGCCGCGAGCGCATGTCGAACTCAATTCAAAACGTTCATCACCAACGCGAGGGCGACGATATCGTCGTCGACGTGATCAGCATCAGCGCCGTGATCAGCATCAGCGCCATCACTGGCCTTGCCATCGTCGTTGTCATCATCGTCACCAGCATCGCTACCATCATCATCATCGCGTCCACCGTTGTCGACATTGCCATGACACCGCGCCCGCCCACGTCGTTGACTCGCACTGAAGTGCCAACTGGGAAGTGCATTGGTCAGCGCCACCGCGGCCGCGTCAGTCTCGCCAAACTATCTGACCGCTGCGCGCGCGAGTATGCGCGGCCGCAAAGATGCATCAGCCAACTCCAAACACTCATCGCACTCGCCGACACATGGGTTCTGCAAACCAAGTTGCGGACGGGTGGGTGGGATGATCGCGCGAGCTGTGGAGTGGACTGATCACTGCGAACAAAAGTTAATTGCACCACAAAGAATGCTCCACATGTGATGCACACTAGAGCTTGCATCTCGTAAATTACGCACCACATAGATTCTCCTTTCTAAAAGAAGAGTAGACTCTACCCCCCGGAATGAACGATCCACCTTTTCGGCTTGCAATGTGCGCATGATTCTGTCCTATCGTCCATCCTAAAAGTGAGTTCATACTATCCCAGCCAAACCAGTACCACTCCCCCCCACCATCCTCTGCAAGACAACTATGCGCTAACTGTCGTTTATCAACAATCATAAAAGGTGTTCAAGAATCCCTCGCAAAAAACAGGAGGAAGTGAGCACACGCGCGTCGTCGCGCGCGCGCATGCTGAAATCCTTCAAAAACCGTTGGTTTCGGAATGGTTTGAAAATCGAGCTTCCATCAAAACATACAAAACTCTAGGTTTCGCAACCCCACCGCGCCCCGGCACCCCCACCCCTCGAGAGCTCTGTTTTTGGGACCCCCCACACGACAATTCCTCACCCAAAACCGACCTACGCCCCCCACCGCGCACCAGCACCCCCACTCCACGCGCGCCCTGGCGAAATCTCAAGAAGCAAATAGGTTGCCCGAGATTTTCAAAAACAAAATGCTACCAAAACGGGCTTCGCGCGCGCATGTCGAAATCTGTCGAACGCCCTTGCGCGCGTGCCGTCGCGAGAATCCTCTGCAAAAAAGGGAGCAAAGTGCAGACGCGCGCGTCGTCGCGCGCGAATGCCGAAATCCTTCAAAAACCTTCGGGTTCGGAAAGATTTCAAAACCGTGTCCAAAAACATACGTCGTTGTCGCCGTGGTCGTCCTTCCTCTTCCCTCGACGTCGTCGTCGGCGTCTCGTCGTCGTCCCTCCTATTTCGTCGCCGTCGTCGTCATCGTCGACGTCTTGACTCCTCCAGCGTCGTTGTCGTCGTCGGCGTCGCCGTCCTCCCTCCTACTTCGTCGTTCGCGTTGTCGCCGTCGTCGTCGTCGTCGTTGGCGGCGTCGTCGTCGTCGGCGTCGTCGTCGGCGTCGTCGTCGTCGGCGTCGTCGTCGTCGGCGCTGTCATCGTCGTCGTCGTCGTCGGCGGCGTCGTCGGTGTCGTCGTCGTCAACGTCGTCGTAGTCGTCGTCGGTGTTGTCGTCGAAGTCGTTGGAGACGTCGTCAGTGTCGTCGCAGTCGGTGTCGGCGGCGTCGTCGTCGTCGTCGTTGTCGTTGTCGATGTCGTCGTCGGTGTCGTTGCCAAGTGCCATTTGGTACCTACCGTCACGGTCTCAAGAGGTCTTGCGACCAAGTTGCGGGTGGAAGGGAGGGATGTTTGCACGAGCAGTGGAGGTGATAGCTTCAAGACAGTCAAAGTGAATTGCACCCCTTATAGATTGCACAACAAAGACTGCTCCACATAGTTTGCACACTGTATACTGCTAGAAACACACTGTTTGGGGTACACGCTAAATAACATGGTTTACCATCATCAAGACTTGATGAAGAATGAAACCCTCCTTTGGTCTCAGTTGCACCAGGATCAAAGAGATGCGCCAGCTGAAAATTCATGGGAGGACACAAGAACATGAAGCCCCTTCCCAAACCGAAGTGCGCCTTATTCTAAGTCGAATCCACTGTACTGCAGAGGAGTCGAAGGTAGAAGACATACATCATGACAACACGAACATGATTGCTTCCGATGTCCGCACCGCAGCCAAAATCCGGCGTCCAAAACCTTCACGACAGAGACCGAGACAGAATATCGGACGGCAACGGCCGAGAGATCGGGATCGCAGGACCTGATTTGCGCTGGGATAGGGGAATAGCATCAGCATGACTAGAGGCCTCCTAGATGGGGTCCGAGTAGATTGGGTCGGGGGATCGCGCCGCATCGGCGACGTCGGTGATGCATTGGCGCCGTCTGCGTGGAGAAAATTGGGCTCCACATCGAACAGCATCGCCGATGCACCGTCGATGCAACGCGATCCTCCGATCACATGAGATCATGTGATTTTTCGCGGCATTGACGGGCGTCATGGGGGAAGGAGGGGGGGAAAGAACAACGTAACGCCCCTGCCCCCCGCAGTGACAGACTGTGGTGCCGGACGCACTGCGGCAGTGCCAGGGACGCACTGGAGGGGCGGGGGAGCGTTACGTCATGGGCGGGGGGGAGGGGGGGGGGAGGGGAAGGGTTCGGGGGCGTGACGCGCGCTTTTGCCCAAAAGGTATTCTTTTCAACCAAGGGACGAGAGATCTACCCCTACGTGGTCCCTGGAGGAACGCCATCAGCACGTATGGCAGGAACAGGTACGACTGACAGCGGCCAAACGATCTCACCGGCCAGCTGGGCTGTCCGCTGGCCACATCGGCTCGGAGGGCTCGCGGTACAAAAGGCCCCTCGTACCGTGGTATTTTTGCCTAGATATTCTCACCTGTTCCCCGTGCCACCTGGCTTTCTGAGTGCGTTGCATATGTTCACATACACTTGAGACCATCTTCCGGCATGTCTGGCTAGCACTACGTTGATACAAGCTCTTCGATTTTTTTCTTGCTGGCCAGAGGGGCGCCTCCAGCCGTGCATTTTGGCTCACGCTTACATCAATTCAGTTTCTTGTTATTCTCGCCTTACGAGCATCGTTGAGGCCAAATCCCCACCTCCGTCTTTTGACCGGGGTTTGGCCCTGCTGTCTTCACGTTGTCGACTGCTGTCCGCTGTGGAACCCGACTTTTGTCCACTGTGACTCTGCACGATGTGCTGTCCCGAGGCTCTGCAGAGGTGGTACGTGGCCTGGAGCCCTCACTACGCGCCCTCGGTGTTTCAGTGCGACTCGCCGTGCCGGCGCCGCTCGCCTTGGAGGTGGGGCTTGGAATGCCGGACAGGTTGCAAGCAAGGCCTTTGAGTAGTTTCTGTCAGCGCGTCCCTGTCGGTCTTCTTCTTCGTATTCTTCTGTTGACCACGAAAAAACACATCCCCAATCCCAAAATCGCGGATTCACCGAGGATTCGAAGATCGGCCAAAGATTTCGGGGTATGTTTTGCGTTCGTCGTCGTCGCCCTGGTAAAACCCTACCCCAAAATCTCCCTCCCCGAAGTCTCGAGGAGCCTGCATTCTGTCTTGGCCCTCGCGTTTTTGGGATTGGCCATCTGTTTTGACTTAGTGATCTGTGCGGTTGAACGGCGCGGCTCCCTCGAATCTTGCATCTTTCGAGAGGGGCGGCGTGGCACGGGAGCCCCGGCGGGCTCCGCACTCCGTGCTGCGTTTGCTCCACTTTTTGACCCCACCGCGCGCGCCCCCGGCCCATACGGTACCGGAGAAGGCGACGCGGGAGGTTGCGCACAGCCTGCAGCTGGCACTGGGCTCGACCACGACCTCACGCCAGAGAGTGCTCGGATCCCATCTGGGAGGCCTGGAGCCTCATCCTTCGCGCGCCGACGGGACCTCGGGCCCGCCCGCCGCTGACTCCCGCCGCCCCAGGGCGCGGCGGGACCCAGGGCGCCGCGGGGGGCCGAAGCGCGCGGCCGAGGCCTCCAACTCCCATGCCCTGGGTGCCGGC